CGTAGCTCAGGCCTCGAGCCTTCGGGCTGGGACTGGCTGAGCCGGGCGGAAGGCGGGGTTTGAGTCACCGCCTGCTGCCACGCCCCCCGTTCCTATAAATTGAGCCCGCATCCTCGCGCTGCGCTCTCTGCGCCTCCTGTTCGCCGGAAAGCCGCATCTAGTCTCCCATCGCCAGGTGAAGCTCGGCGGAGAGGACCCCGGGAGGCTTGGGACGGCCTGAAGGCGTCAGGGGCGGGCGCGGGCCGAGTGCGCCGCTGCGGGGTGGGCGCGGGCCGAGTGCGCCGCTGCGGGGTGGGCGCGGGCCGTGTGCGCCGCTGCGGGGGGGCCCGGGCCCGGGCGGCCTCCGCATTGCAGAGGCGTGCGGAGGACGTGTTGCGGCGCGGGTTGGGCATGGAGGCTTGAATGGGGGGGGGGGGCGGGGAGAGGCGTGGGCGTCGGCCGGTGCGCTTGGCCCTCACTGTCCTCTCCTTCCGCGCAGCCACATCCCTGAGACACCATGGGGAAGGTGAAGGTCGGAGTTAACGGGTGAGTTCGCAGGTGGCTTGGGGGCCCTGGGCTGCGGCCGCCCCCGAACTGCATCCGCGAGTCTTGCCGGCCCCGGGTCTTTGCAGTCGTGTGGGGGTGGGGTGGCTGTGCTCCCCCAAGGAGAGCTCAAGGTCAGCGCTAGGACCTGGCGGAGCCCCGGACCCAAGCTGTGGCGCCCTGTGCAGTTCCGCCCCTGCGGCGCCATCTGCCCGGAGGCTTCCTCCTCTCGTGCCTAGGAACCGGAGGTCCCCACTCCCGCCCGGGATCCCTTCCGACCCAGACCCCTAGCTGGGGCCGCTTTCTTTCCTTTCGCGCTCTGCGGGGTCACGTGTTGCAGAGGAGCCCCTCCCCCACGGCCTCTGGCACCGCAGGCCCCGGGATGCTAAGTGCGCAGCGGGTGCATCCCTGTCCGGAGGCTGCGCCCTGCGGTCGAGCGGGCGCCATGTTGCAACCGGGAAGGAAATGAATGGGCCACCGTTAGGAAATTTTGCCGGTGACTAACCCAACGCTTCTGCCTCGGTGGGTGAAGTCGCCTGTGCCGGGGAAGTCAGGTGGAGCAAGGCTTGCCGGCCACTGATCCGCAAGCCCGATGTCTCCTCTGGGTGATGCTTTTCCTAGATCATTCTCCTGTAAATCAAAGAAGTGGGTTTATAGAGGTCCTCCTGTGTCCCCTCCCCCCAGAGGTGTGGCTGTGGCTTGGTGACTAGCTGGGGGAGCTGAGTCATGCATGGGGTTGGAAAAGGACATTTCCACTGCAAAATGGTCCTTCTGGCGGTGGCCCCATCCTGCGGCGGCCGCTCACCTCATGGCCCCGCTCTTCCCCTGCCAGCCTACCATTGACCCGACCCCAAAGGCCAGGCCGTAAATGTCACCGAGAGGATTGGGTGTCCCGGAGCCTTGGGAAACCTGCCCTTTTCCCCATTCCGTCTTCCAGAAACCGGATCTCCCACTGCACCCTGGTCTGAGGTTAAATATAGCTGCTGACCTTTCTGTAGCCGGGGGCCTGGGCTTGGGTTCTCTCCCATCCTCTTCTTCCCATGCATATACACATACCTGTTGGTCCCACGCCTGATTTCTGGAAAAGAGCTAGGAAGGACAGGAAATATGGCAAATCGAAGCCCTGGGACTAGGGGGTTAAACAGCTTTTTCCCTCATCTCTGTCCCTTTTGTAGGAGGGACTTAGAGAAGGGGGTGGGCTTGCCCTGTCCAGTTAATTTCTGACCTTTACTCCTGCCCTTTGAGCTTGGTGATGCTGACTGTACAAGTGTTTTCTCCCTAAAGGGTGCAGCCTGAAGCTGAGCCAGGCAGCAGCAAGTATTCCTGGGGCATAGATAGTGGGGTGATGAATGCCATTTGCTAAGCTTGTGCCCAGGCTGTGGGTGGCAGTGCCCCACATGGCCACTTCTCCAAGAAGGCCTTTCCATGACCGGGGGTGTTGGGCAGCAGCGGTGCCTTCATTTGGAGCCATGCTGTAAAGCTAGGCCAACCTGGCAGGCAAGCTCAAGGGAGATAAAATTCAGGCCCTCCTAGGAGTAAGAGTATGCTACATTCACCCTCTTAATGGGGAGGTGGCCTGGGGCCGCTCACACACCCTGGGAATCTTCCCCTCCTTATGTCTTCTTGTCTCTTAGATTTGGTCGTATTGGGCGCCTGGTCACCAGGGCTGCTTTTAACTCTGGTAAAGTGGATATTGTCGCCATCAATGATCCCTTCATTGACCTCAACTACATGGTGAGTGCTGCCCCAAAGCTGGCGTGGGAGGAGCTGCCTGGCTGATGGGCAGCCCCTTCATACCCTCGCATGTTCCCAGGTCTACATGTTCCAGTATGATTCCACCCACGGCAAATTCCATGGCACTGTCAAGGCTGAGAACGGGAAGCTTGTTATCAATGGCAATCCCATCACCATCTTCCAGGAGTGAGTGGAAGACAGAACGAAAGAAATGTGCTTTGGGGAGGCAGCTAGAATGGTGTGCCCCCTCTTGGGTCTAGGGTAATCTCATGTTTCTCAATATGGTCCTGTCCCTGTCTCCCCCACCCCCATAGGCGAGATCCCTCCAAAATCAAGTGGGGCGATGCTGGTGCTGAGTACGTAGTGGAGTCCACTGGCGTCTTCACCACCATGGAGAAGGCTGGGGTGAGTGCACGAGGGCCCGCAAGAGGGGAAGCTGACTCAGCCCTGCAGAGGCAGAACCCAGGTTTGTAACTATCTACTTTCTCTGCTGTAGGCTCACTTGCAGGGGGGAGCCAAAAGGGTCATCATATCTGCCCCTTCTGCTGATGCCCCCATGTTCGTGATGGGCGTGAACCATGAGAAGTATGACAACAGCCTCAAGATCGTCAGGTGAGGAAGGCAGGGCCAGTGGAGAAGCAGCCAGCCTGGCACCCTGTGCATGTGCTCCCCTAACTTGCCCCTCCTCCCTCTGCAGCAATGCCTCCTGCACCACCAACTGCTTAGCGCCCCTGGCCAAGGTCATCCATGACAACTTTGGTATTGTGGAAGGACTCATGGTATGAGACGCCGAATGGGACTGACACTCCTGCCTTTCTCATCCAGAATTGGCTCCTCCCTGCCAGGGCATACAACCCTGGGGGTTGGGGGGTTCTGGGGACTGGCTCTCCCATAATTTCCATCCAAGGTGGGGAGGGAGGTAGAGGGGTGGTGTGAGGAGCGCTCTGCAGGGCCTCACTCCCTCCTCTTCCAGACCACTGTCCACGCCATCACTGCCACCCAGAAGACCGTGGATGGACCCTCCGGGAAACTGTGGCGTGATGGCCGTGGGGCTCTCCAGAACATCATCCCTGCCTCTACTGGAGCTGCCAAGGCCGTGGGCAAGGTCATCCCTGAGCTGAACGGGAAGCTCACTGGCATGGCCTTCCGTGTCCCCACTGCCAACGTGTCAGTGGTGGACCTGACCTGCCGTCTGGAAAAACCTGCCAAATATGATGACATCAAGAAGGTGGTGAAGCAGGCGTCGGAGGGCCCCCTCAAGGGCATCCTGGGATACACTGAGCACCAGGTGGTATCCTCTGACTTCAACAGCGACACCCATTCTTCCACCTTTGATGCTGGGGCTGGCATTGCCCTCAACGACCACTTTGTCAAGCTCATTTCCTGGTATGTGGCTAGGGCTGGAGTCAGGCTCTTAAAAAGTGACGTGGGGTCTGGCGCCCTCTGGTGGCTGGCTCGGAAAAAGGCCCTAACAACTTTTCATCTTCTAGGTATGACAATGAATTTGGCTACAGCAACAGGGTGGTGGACCTCATGTCCCACATGGCCTCCAAGGAGTAAGACCCCTGGACCACCAGCCCCAGCGAGAGCACGAGAGGAAGAGAGGCCCTCACTGCTGGGGAGTCCCTGCCACAGAGTCCCCCACCACACTGAATTGCCCCTCCTCACAGTTTCCATGCAGACCCCTTGAAGAGGGGCCTAGGGAGCCCCACCTTATCGTGTACCATCAATAAAGCCCCCTGTGCTCAGCCAGTTCTTTGTCCTGTCTTATCCTGTCTAGGGCCGAGGGGAGGGAAGCTGGGCTGGTGTAAGATGAGACATTCTTCCTGGGAGGGACCTGGTACATCCCCTTCGAATTGAGAGTAGGGCCTCCAAACAACCTTGCTTGCTTCGAGAACCATCTGCTTCCTGTTCAGAGGTCTGAGTGCTACAGGAAGCTGGCACCACCGCTTGAGAGAAGCCCTTTTTCTCTCCCTGCTCCAGACCTAGGCTATCTGCTGTTGGCTGAACATGGAAGAAGCTATTCTTTGGGCAACTTCAGGGAGGGTGACTGGTGGAAGAAGTCAGGGCTCACACGGCTCTGATGGTGACTGGTTAATAGAGCTGAGCTACAGCAGGCAATTCCAGCGTGGCCTCCACAGCTGTGAGGTCTTGAGCAAGTACTCTTTCTTTCTGTGTCCTTGTACCTTATCTGCAAAATAGGGATGTGACTGTGGCCAGCCCCTAAGGTCTTCAGGATTTATCTAGGTAAACTAAGCACTTAAAATCTATGCCCAAGATGGTAAACACTGTATAATTTTTAAAAATCCGTAAGGTTAATGCCCACCTCATACAGTTTTGAGGAAGATGAACTATGTGTTTGTTAGGGTGACTTATTTCCATCATCATCCTTAGGGGAGCTTGGGTAGGGGCAAGGCATGGAGCTGGGACCTGCTTTGGGCAGCGTGGTCACGCCTATAACCCCAGCACTTTGGGAGGCCAAGATGGGTGGATCCCCTGAGTCAGAAGTTTGAGACCAACCTGGCTGAAACTCCATCCCCTACTGAAACAAAATTTAGCCAGGCATGATGGTGCACACCTGTAGTCCCAGCTACTCAAAAGGCTGCAGTGAGCTGAGGCCACGGCACTGCACTCCAGCCTTGGCAACAGAATGTGGGACTCCATCTCAAAAAAATTAAAAAGTACCTGCCTCAGAGTTCAAACTAGTTAATATTAGGAAGTGCTTGAAACAGTAACACCAAAGATACTCGACAGTTTGATTATTATTAAAGAATCCATTCGAATGTCAGCTCAGCACAGCCTCCTATATGGAGGCGTTATGAATCACATCTCCCAGTCTCTCCAGGCTTTTCCAACAGTCAAGGACACCTTAACCTGTTGGCCTCAGTGTATGACAAACACAGAGGAGGCACATCTTTAGCTGATACTTAAAATTGAAACTGAGACTCTAAGCCAGTGCGCGCACACACGCGCACGCATGCACAGAGCTTCGCCTTCTCTGTCATTCTGCAGTGACCGGGAGAGCAAGAGCTCCCACCTCCCCTCAAGATATTGTGCCCATCCCGGGCACTAAGGCCTCTTTAAAGCACGGCACCTCCACAAGAGGGCCACAGCCACATATATTCCACCCAGCAGGTGGACAGCATGAGCACATGAACCATAGCAGGGACAGGGTGCCCCGGCCAGCCCCAATGCCCTCCACACTAACAGGGACAGACGCCCTCTCCAACTGTGTGTGCTGCAGTGGCCACGCCTAGCCTCCAGCTGCACTCATTCCACTCCAGTGCCTGGGCCAGTTAGCACCAGTGCCGAAGACAGTGAGCCGGCTCCAGACAACAGTGATGGAGGAAAGGTCCCTACATTCACATTCCTGACACGTGGACAAGGTGAGGGGCTGTAATCGCTCTGGCAGCATTTTAAAGATGGGGAAGTAGCAAACACCCACACATGAAGGCAGAGAGCCCCAACTGTGGTGGAAACGGCTCCGGAAGGGCAGGGCCAAGCCTAGCTCCAGACACCCCAGAGCCCAGGAGAAGCCAAGACCGAGGAGGAAGCCCAAGGGAGGAGCGCCCCAGTCCCCAGGGGCCAGGCCTCGTGCAGTGGTGCAAGTGATGCTCCCCTCTGTGCAGCCCCGCCCTCTGCCTCGCTGAGCTCCCAGCTGGGAGGATCTCAGGCCGGGGCGTGCAAGGGGGAGTCAGGTCTCTATCTCAGGGAGCTGTCAGATGAGACATCGCGATCTGAGTCCTCAGTCTCGCTTGGCGGCGGCGGCGGCGGGTCGCTAAGCGGGACCGCAGAGAAAGCAGGAGACTTTCTAGAAAAAAACACCAGTTGTCAACCTTGGGGCAGGCAGGAATCCTGAAGTCGGCACTCCTCTTCCTGCCGCCTCATCCTCTGGCAGCAGGTGAGGAGCACCAGAGGCGAGGGCGGGGCAGCAGGAGGGCAGCAGGAAGCGAACTCTTTCCAACTCCACCCTGACTGGGAAATGGGCCCCGCCTATGTCTTGGGATCTCAAGAGGCTGAGGTCAGGCGAGGTGGCTCACACCTGTAATCCCAGCATGGGAGGCTGAGGCGGGGGGTGCGCCGGGGAATTACGAGGTCAGGAGATCGAGACCATCCTGCCTAGCATGATGAAACCCCATCTCTATTAAAACACGGCTTGCGGGCGTGGTGGCGCAAGCCTGTATTCTCAGCTACTCGGGAGGCTGAAGCAGGGGAATTGCTTGAACCCGGGAAGCGGAGGTTGCAGTGAGGCGAGATTGTGCAACTGCACTCCAGCCTGGTGACAAAGTAAGATTTTGTCACACACACACACACCCCCCCCCAAAAAAACCTGCCCCTACTGTTTCTTGACAGTTTTTTTTTTGTTTTGTTTTGTTTTTTTTGAGATGGAGTCTAGCTCTGTTGCCCAGGGTGGAGTGCAGTGGTGCAATCTCGGCTTACTGCAACCTCCGCCTCCAGAGTTCAAGCGATTCTCCTGCCTCAGCCTCCCTAGTAGCTGAGATTAAAGGTGCCCACCACCATGCCCAGCTAATTTTTTGTATTTTTAGTAGAGACGAGGTTTCACTGTGTTGGCCAGGCTGGTCTCAAACTCCTGACCTTATGATCCACTCACCTCGGCCTCCCGAAGTGCTGGGATTACAAGAGTGAGCCACCACACCTGGCCTCCTCTTGCCAGTTTTTAAACTGCCTCTAACCAGAGGAACCACCAGAGCTGGTGGCCTTGGGAGGTTTCAGCCCTCCGGCCATGAATGGACACCATGTCATCCAACTGCCAAGGGGGAGAGAGCTGTGGGTGTGGGACAGCCACACCAGGTGACTCCCAAAGGGCAGCTCCACACCAAGATGTGACCCAGTCACAGCCTGAGGGTCTTCGGGGCTGTGTTCCACCCTTTCTCCTCCCTGCGTCCCCCTGGAAGGCTCCGGACCTCAGGGGAGGCGCCTACCGGTCTCCGGACTGGGTGATGAGCCGGCGGCAGGTCTCCATCTGCACGTCCAGGCCGCGCTTCATGCTGCACATCTCCATGTACTCGTGCAGGTGCCGGTTCATGTCATTCTTGGCCGTGGCCAGCTCCAGCTGTGGTGGGGCAGGCAGGGCCATCGCGGTTAGCAGGTGGGGTTCACAGTGCCTCTGTTCCCCCCGCCCGGAGGCTAACACACCAAGAGCAGTGGCTGGGCTGGGAGCCCAGGCAGCCATTGCTGAAGGCTGATTTTAAAACAAATCAGACCGAGGCAGAAGGCACCAAACACACGATGATTTCCTCTGGTTTTCCTGGAAATCTCTGCCCATGGAGGAATGTAAAGGTGCTGCTGCAGGCTGCATTCAGACTGATCAGATTGCGAGGAAAGTCAGTGTGGGCGGGATGGAGCAGATCCACGGGCCCCAGGGCCACGTCGGGTCCTGCTGGGCTCAGCTCACCCTCATCCACTGTGCTGTGCTGACCGCACTGTGAGCTCATTTAAGGGTTAGCCACGGCTTTCTCATCCCTGCAGACCCAGACCTCAACAGGATTTAACTCACTCTGTGAAGTGCCCATGAGACCCGGGGCATACAGGAAGCTGGCTCATTGCTGAAAGGGGCCCAACCCTCTTCCCATCACTTTATTTCCTCACCTAAAAGCCATTTTCAGACACTAAAAGGAAGACTCCCATGTTGGAGGTGCCACTGATTCTGAGATGTGTCCTGACTTCAGAAATGTCACATGTAGAAAACATGGGTCTCAAAATCAAAGAAATCCAGTCTCCCTCCCAGGGCCCATTCTGCAGCCCAGGCTCTGAGGCGGACCAAGAGGCAGGGCCAGGCAGCACAAGCTCTGGGCCGGGGACAGTCGACTGCCTCTCTTTGGTTTGGGTACAAAGGGCAAGGGCCATAAGGGGAGGCAAAATGAAACTGCCTGGAGGTGACCTTTGTGACTGCCTGAGCAAGAGGACGGGGAGGGTGGCAGCTGTCATCACCTGGACTGGACAGAGGTGGTGGGGACCTAGAGAAAGAAGGAAACAGGCCACAGGGCCAGACAGCAGTAATGGTCAGGACACTGACATGTGGGGTGAGATGGCAGCTGGGTGGGTGAGAAGCCCTAGTGAGGACAGCTCCAGTGGCAGGCTTGGCTGCCACAGCAGCAGGAGAAGCACAATGACTGTTCAGCCCAGAGAGAAAGCACCGTGCTACCAGCTCTTACTCAGGTCAGCTGCCTATACCCCAATTTCTCTACCTTGGAAACGCCAGAGTGCTGGGTTCTGGAACCATCACTCAGGGAGACTGGGAAGGAAATGAACCAAATACATTCTACTGAAATACAAGGCTAGTACTGCCCCCAGCAGTCTGCATATTCTATGTCCCCACTTAATTCACAAATTTACAGCAGGAACACGGTCAGGAGATGAACGTGCAAGTCAGGGGATGCCCTTGATAAGCGACCTTGAAAACTGCAGGCTTGCTGTGTGACCAGACTTGGGGGTGCGATGGGAGGAGACAGAGAGAGGTGAGGAGGAGTGGGGAAGAACTGCCTCCCGCCCGCCACTCTGGGTGGTGGATTTACCAGAGGAACTGGTCCTTGCTTCATCTTAGTGACCCTGAGATAAAAAGTCACAAAGAAAAAGGCACCTTGGGTACTCCTGAGGTCAGCAAGTCCCCCTAAAGGTTCCCCTAACGCAGAAGTCCTCAACCCCCAGGCCACAAACCGGTACCTGTCTGTGGCCTGTTAGGAACCAGGCCCAACAGCAGGAGGCGAGCAGTGGGCAAGTGGGCGAGGCTTCATCTGGATTTACAGCTGCTCCCCATCACTGGCATTACCGCCTGGGCCCCCCCTCCTGTCAGATCCACAGCAGCATTAGATTCTCACGGGAGCGGGAACGCTATTGTGAACTGTGCATGTGAGGAATCCAGGCCGCACGCTCCTTATGAGAATCTAATGCCTGATGATCTGTCACTGTCTCCCGTCACCCCCAGACAGGACTGTCTAGTTGCAGGAAAACCAGCTCAGGGCTCCCACTGATTCCACATTATGGTGACTTGTATAATTATTTCATTTTTTTACTGAAAATGAAATAATTTTCAGTAAAAAAATGAAATAATTATACAAGTCATTAACAGTATAACAAGAACATAATAATGATAGAAATGAAGTGCACAGACCAAGACGGTGGCTCACGCCTGTAGTCCCAGCACTTTGGGAGGCCAAGGCAGGCAGATCACTTGAGGTCGGCAGTTCAAGCAAGACCAGCCTGACCAATGTGGAGAAACCCCGTCTCTACTAAAAATACAAAATTAGCCACGTGTGGCACCGCGAGCCTGTAATCCCAGCTACTCAGGAGGCTGAAGCAGGAGAATCGCTTGAACCAGGGAGGAGGAGGTTGTGGTGAGCCAAAATCGTGCCATTGCACTCCAGCCTGGGCAACAGAGTAAGACACCGTCTCAAAAATAAAATAAATAAATAAATAAAAATAAAGTGCACAATAAATATAATGTGCTTGAATCATCCTGAAACCATTCCCCACTCAGGTCAGTGGAAAAACTGCCTTCCAAAAAACCAGTCCCTGGTACCATAAAGGTTGGGGACTGCTGCCCTAAAGTCATTGTACTGGGAGAGTGGGGGAATCAGATGCCTTGAAAATACCTTTTTTTTTTCTTTTTGAGACAGAGTCTTGCTCTGTCACCCAGGCTGGAGTGCAGTGGCGCATTCTGGGCTCACTGCAGCCTCCGCCTCCCAGATTCCAGCGATTCTCCTGCCTCAGTCTCCCAAATAACCGGGATTACAGGCACCCACCACAACGCCTGGCTAATTTTTGTATTTTTAGTAGAGACAGGATTTCACCATGTTGGTGGCCAGGCTGGTCTTGAACTCCTGATCTCAAGTGATCCGCCTGCCTTGGCCTCCCAAAGTGCTGGGATTACAGGGGAGAACCACTGAGCCCAGCAGAAAATAGTTTAAAAGGTTTGACTCCATGTAGGATATTCTTTTCGTTCATTCAGATCGTGTTTTACACTGGGCACTTGAGGTCCAGGGAGACTAAGGAGAGATGGCGCCCCGAGATCTCTTCTTCACGCATATGGCTGCGTAAAGGCCCCTATTTGGTTGAAGGCACAATGAAAACACCAGACCTTAAATCCACCAACCAAAAGAGGGAGGCGAGAATCAGGCCAGGCAGGAGGAGGAAGCAGCAAGCCGGGTAGACAGGAGAGTGGGGAGGATTGGTTTCCCTTGCCATGTCTTTAGGTAGCAGCACAAATCCAGGAAACCTCATCTACCTGGCCAAGAAAACCAGGTTTGCTTGCAGGAGCAGGACAATTTGATGTGTGGTGGGAGAATTAGTATGTAGAAAAATAATTTCCCAACTTCCTTCTCAAACACACCCAGTGTGAGAGCAATAAGGGTAAAGCCACTCCCTCCTTATCCACTAGGTCATTTCCATGGCTTCAGGTACCAGAGGTAAACCTTGATCTGAAAATATTAAATGAAAGATTCCAGAAATAAGCAATTCCTACGTTTTAAATTGCATGCTGTTCTGAGTGGCCTGATAAAATCTCACTCTAGGCTGAGCACAGTAGCTCACGCCTGTAATCTCAGCACTTTGGGAGACCAAGGCAGGCGGATCACCTGAGGTGAGGAGTTCGAGACCAGCCTAACCAAAATGGGGAAACCCCATCTCTACTAAACCTCACTCTCTCCAGCCCAGAACATGAACCCTCCCTCTGTCCCAAAGATCCACACTGCCTACACTGCCTGCCCATTAGTCAGTTAGTAGCCATCTCAGAGATCAGACTGACCATCACGGTATCACAGTGCCTGTGTTCAAGGAACCCTTATTTTCACTTCATAATGGCCCCAAAGCACAACAGTAGTGATGCTGGTAATTTGGATATGCCAAAGAGAAGCCAAAATGTGCTTCCATTAAGTGAAAAGGTAAAACTTTTCAACTTAAAAGAAAAAGAATCCTACGCTGAGGTTGCTAAGATCTATAGTAAGAATGAATCTCCTATCTGTGAAATTGTAAAGAAGAAAAACCAAATTTGTGCCAGTTTTTCTGTCACATCTCGAACTGCAAAAATTACTGCCACAGTGCATGCAAAGTGCTTAGTTAAGACAGAAAAGGCACTGGATGTGTAGGTGGAAGACATGAACAGAAACAGGTTCCATTGACAGCAACTGGCCCAAGCTATGAGGGGTTCAGTGCTGTCTTTGGTTTCAGGCATCCATTGGCGGATGCCTGCAGATAAGGGGGGACGATGGTATGAATCTGCCACATGGGCTTCAAGAGAGGCTGAGAGTCAGAGAAGGCACCAGGCCTCTCCCCCAGTCAGAGCGTCCAGAAATGACCATCTCACCAGGGCAGGAAAGCTCATGGGCATCCTGTCCATCCCTCCTCCCACAGCAACCTCCATTCTGTGGTTCCACAAATCCTTCTTGCAGCTCCTAAAGCTTGGAGTTTAAGGTACCACTTGCCTCTAGGTACCTCTAGGTTGGGTTTAGGTACCACTTGCCTCTAGAAGTACCTCTAGAAGGTACTTCAAGGCTCGGGAAAAAGCCTGGAGATTTCTCTGTTACCTCAAAGGGTGAGTGAGTGGAAGAAACAGGAATGTCCTAGTCCACCTCTGAGTGCTACGGCACTGATAGTGTCAATAATAAAACAGTCCCCACTATGGTACACTCACTATGAGCCAGACACTGCCCTAAGCTCTATATGTGCATTATTTCATCTGATCTTCTAAACAATCCAATAGGGGAAGTTTTATTAAATTCCTCATTTTACAAATAAAGAGGCCGGGCACAGTGGCTCATGCCTGTAATCCCAACACTTTGTGAGGCCGAACTGGGAGGATTGCTTGAACCCAGAAGTTTGAGGCCAGCCTGGAAAACAAGTGAGACCCTGTCTCTATAAAGTATCAAAAAATTAGCTGGATGTGGTGGCACACCTGTGGTCTCAGCTACTCAAGAGGCTGAGGTAGGAGGATTGCTTGGATCCAGGAGATTGAGGCTGCAGTGAGCCTGGAGTGACACAGCAGGATCATGACAGAAAGAAAGAAAAAAAAGAAAGGAGAGAGGGAGGGGGGAAAGAAAAGAAAAAGAGGGAGGGAGGAAAGAAGGAAGGAAGAAGGAAGGAAGGAAAAAGGAAAGAAGAAGGAAGAGGTACAGGGGCTGGGCACATGGCTCATGCCTGTAATTCCAGCACTTTGAGAGGCTGAAGCAGGAGGATCACTTGAGCCCAAGAATTTAAGACCTGCCTGGGAAACACAGGGAGACCCCCATCTCTACAAAAGAAAAAATTAAAAACTGGCTGGGTGTGGTAGTGCACGCCTATGGTCCCAGCTACTCGGAAGGCTGGGGTGGGAGGATCAGCCTAGGCAAGAGTGAAACAGAGTGAGACTTTGTCTCAAGAAAAAAAATAAAAAGGAAAGTAACTGACTCAGAGGGAACAAGTAACTTGTTACAAGTTCAGAGTGATTGTAAGTGACAGAGCTGAGATTTGAACAGACATCGGTCTGCTTCCAGAGTCTTCAGAGCCCACCAGACCACCAGAAGGACCACAGCTGAGAGGCCACTTCTCCCAAGACCCTGGTCTCTAAGGTCCCTCAGGAGGGATGAGGCCACTGCGCCTGCAGCCCCACTCAAAACCCTCTGCGACACTGTGCCCCTGGCTTCTGCCCCTGCCCTTACCTCTATCTGGTCAATGGTCTCCTGATACTCCTTCTCCCGGGTTTTGAACAGGGACTCCGTATCTTTAATCACCTTCTCCAGGCTGTCTTCCTGCTGCTGGAGTAGAAAGGGAAGCGAGGGAGGCCAGCCAGGGAGGGATGGGATGGGGCGCATTCCACAGGGCCAAGTCGGGGGGAGAAAGAGAGAAAGACCGGTTAAAGAAACTGGAGAAAGAAAAGCAAAAGGACCAAGGAAGAGGGGAGACGCAGGTAGAGGATGACAGCCACATGGGGGGACAGAGCGAGGAGTGCAGGGAGGGAGGCCGGGCGTCGGGCTGGAGGCAGAGCCAGAGGGCCCTGAGGCCGGGAGCAGAGGTTACCTCTCCCTGGGCCTCTGCAGCTGCCATGGCATAGCCTGAGAAATCCTCCCAAAGCAGCAGGGTCTCCTCAGTCTCCTCCCAAGTCAGGCTGTCACAGTCGTCCTCAAAATCATACTCCCTCCTAGAGACAGGGAACCCGGGTGTCAGGGCGGGCGGGGCCTCGTCCTGGCGGGGGACTGGGGAGCTCCGGCCTCCTGGGCTGCTGTGGCGTCGGTGCTGTGGGAGCACGGCCTGCGGACTCACAGCTGGCTGAGCATGCGCTGCATCTCCTCGTTGATGCTGAGGGCTGTGCTCTCCTCCTCATCCCCATCAGGCTGGCGGGGCCCCTCACTCTCCGACAGGGAGGTGTCCTCCTCGACGGCAGCCTTGCGCTCCCGCTTCCGCCCCCCCATGGATGGGACCTTAATGGGAGACAAGTGCAGAGACTACAGAGGCGAGGCCGGGTGCATGAGGGGAAAGGGCGGGGGCGGGGGGCCGGGCAGAGAGGGCGGGCAGGGGGAGAAGCGTGAACCAGCAGGAAGGGTGGGGCACACAGAGAGAGAAGTCACAGTTACAATGACAGGAACAGAAACACGGACAGTCACCAAGGGCCAGACACACAGACACACAGCGGGGGCCGGGGCTGCAGACCGAGAAGGCAGAACAAGAAGAAAGAGAGAGCGCGGTCAGACGAGGGAGGAAGGGCCTGTTAGGGCCGCAGTCAGATATGCATGATGGCTCAAGAGGAATTTTTTTTTCTAAAAAAAGCCTTTTTGATTAAAGGACTCAACTAAAAAAAAAGCTTTAGGCTGCAAGGAGGATGAGGGTGCAATGTGCACAAAGGAGAACCTGAATCACATCCAGATCTGGAAAGCCGGGGCAGAAGGGAGAGAAAGAAATGCAGTCAAGAGAACGAGAGAGAGAGAGAGAGAGAGAGAGAGAGAGAAAGGGGGAACAGCAAGGAAAAGAGAAAGGGGAGAAAAAAATGTGTGCTGAAGAGCCCAGCGGGCCCAAACTGAGGGCCAGGAGGCCTAGGCAGCTTAGAAACTGGGACTGGGACATTAATAAGCTTGCGTGAGATCAAACTAACCAGCTTCTTCTGTGGAGGAAGCAAGAGAGAAGATGAGAGGAAGAGAGGAGAGGAAGCAGACAGAGGAGAGAGAGGGGGAAGGGAGAGACGGCGTTAGAGATAGCTTCCACAGCGCCCCTCCTGACGCTGCTCCTTGCCCCCCAGCCTAGCCCCGCAAGGGCCCCAGGTGCCAGGATAAGGCTCCCCAAGTGGGAGGCAGGGCCTGCGTTCCGGGCCAGCCACCGAGGAAGCATCCACCTGCCCCACCCTCCCCAGAGAGCGGAGGCAGCTCCGTCCTCACCTGGAACATCTGGATCATGTCCTCGCAGTTGCGCTGCTGAGCCACGTCACAGAGCTTGGCGGTGATGTCGATGCGACGGCAGATGTCCATATCCACCTTCATGGCTTTCTCCTGGATCTTGGTATCCAGCTCCGACAGGTTCTGTCCAGGAACGCGGGGAACAGTGAGGAGGCACCCAGCTCTCCAGACAAAGATGAATAAGGCCTGGCAAGGTCCTCATCCTCCCACCACATTGCACCAGTGCCTCGTCCGTGGAGTCTCCCTGAGCTGAATGCACCCCTCTTCCTGGGTGGCAGTGGTCTCCCCACAGCACTGTGTGAATATGCTGGGCATGGCAGCTCCGACCACTGCTCCCTGGCCAAACGGAAGCCCTGGAGGGCACGGCCAGTGCCTGGGACATGTAGGGGCTCCCTGGGACACGTAGGGGCTCCCTGGATCAGCACTCCTCATCCTCCTAGAACTTAGATTCCCAGAGAGAAAGAGACTCCTGGGAATTATAAGTGTAGAGAAAGGACTGTAATAATTGCAACAGCTAACACTCTTCCAGCTAACGCTGCGTGACGGGCACTGTCCTAAGTACACGATCACCTTCACAATACTCCTGCAGAGTGCACGCCTTTCTTTCCCCACTCCGAAGGTGAGGCCTCAGAGGCTCAGGAATTGGCCCAGGGCCCCAGTCCCAGCCGCAGAGCCTCCACCCCAGAAGCCACTCACTAGCTGCTCTGCAGCCCCAGGCCCTCAGAAGCTGCACCACCTCTGAGACGCAACACCAAGACTTTTGTTCCTTCTCTTTCTCTGGAGTTGGGGGTGGCTAGGGGAAAAGGGAAGGGGAGCAAAGAGAAGGGAAGGAGGCGTGGACAGGACGCCAACAGGCCAACTCTAGAAGGGCCTGCTGCTCCGGCCTAAAAAGCCTCACGCTGACCCTCGGGGAAGCCTGGGGCTGCACTCACGTTACTCATGAGCCCCTTGAAGACCACCAGCTCAGCCTTCAACTGTTCCACCTTCAGTGCCAGCTCCTCCTGGCAGGCATCAGCCTCCTGGGCTTCCTGCAGTTGGGAGAAACCCTGATGTTAGTGACACTGCTGAGGTGGGAAGAAGGTAAAGATGACAAGGAGGGACAGGCAGATGATGCCAGGGTCGCGGCCAGACGGGGCGCCCAGGGAAGCATGGGCAGTGGGTGGGGCACAACCCTCACCTCCTGGAGCTCACTGACACGATCTTGCAGCTGGATCCGTACTGTGTACTCCTCTTCCCACCTGACAGGGAAGGGCGGAGCGAGCTTAGGGACAGAGTCCTTCCCTGTCCCCACAGCTCCCTGTCCCCACTGCTCTGGTCCAGGCCTCAGACCCCAGTTCTGGTTCCCTGGCTGGGGAGGAGCAGGGCACGGGAATGCCTGGCCAGCCAGCCGGTGGCCAACTGCAGCTGTCACGTGGCTCCGTGCTTCCTGACGGGCGTCGAGCTCGCCAGCTGCCTTCCCAGAACCTCCGGGTCGCACACCAGGAGCTCTGTTTGAGCAACTGCTGCGGCTCCGGTCCTCTGTGGCGCCCATCCCCACTCAGGCCCCAGCTCAGCCAACTGCCTGGCTGGCCTCATCGCCCACCTCCTGCCCACACCAGACCACCAGGTCCACCCGGCCCAGTCTCCCACCTTCAGTCGCACAGATCCGGGCTCCCGCCTCCTGCCCGCACCAGAACAGAGCTCGTCGAGCCCGCTGCCCTGCCTCTTGTGGTATCATTTAACCCTGTAAAAGCATCTGCAGGACACATACTGTATCAACAGAGTGGGTCAAGAGCCTGATAGGAGACACTCAAAGTTGTTCCCCACAAGCTCCAGAAACTGCCCACCCAGAGCCTCCTCTAAGTGAGCCACAGGGGGGTGACCAGCCTGGCTCAGAGGCCAGAAGCTCCCCAGCAGCATGACAGCAGTGGACACACGAGCCTGGGGTTACTAGCACTCAAACCCAGAGGGAAAGCAGAGCATGTAAAGGGGCCCAGTGAGTACAGTGGATGAGCGCTAGAAGCAGCCTCTCCCGGGACCCAGAATTCAGAGACTAAGACCGCAGCGGTCTGGACGACACTGGGCCACAGCACAGGGTGCTAGGTAGCACATGCTTCCCAGAGCCAGCTTTGTCACGTCTCATCGGCCATGGCAGGCGGTACATATTCCATTCCATCACAGAGATGGAAGCTGGGGCAATGCACTGCTTAGGACCTGCCCCGCAGTCTGGCTGGCGTAGCAGCACATCTCAGACCCTGTTCCTGTGAGCTCATCACTTCTGTCAGCCTGAGAAAGGACGGGAACTGCACCAAGACAGAAACCTCAACATCAGATAGGTGGTTAGGAAGGGGCTAGGAAGACAGCAAGAAAATGGAAATCTAAGTGGGCAGCTTCTATAGTCTTGGGTTAAGCCCTTTCGTCCCCTTCCCTCCATCTTCCTTCCTATGTCAGCTTCTGGGTCCCATCTCCTCACTCACAGCCGCACTGCAGTACTCCTAATAATAACTCCTCCACATCACCTCGGCTGCCCCTCCCTGCTGGCCAGAGCAGGAGGAGGCAGCCAGCCCAGCCACCACCCTGCTGGCTCCCCACACAGCCCGGCTCCCAGCCTGCCTGGCTCCCAGCCCCCTTTCCTGTGGGTCCTATATGTGCTTCTCCCCTTGCCCCTGGCATTCTTGCGCACACAGTCAGGCCAGTAAGGGGCCTGGTCATATCAGGTTGTATGTTTTCTTAGCTAAGACCTTTATCTTTTCTGGGTCTTGCTTTCTTCATCTACAACATGAAGGCACGAACTGTGGTGCCCTCATGCCCCGGGAGCCCACAAGTCCCTGGAGGAAGACAGTAAGCCTGTCAAGGGCATGCTAACCCTGGACAAGATGCGTGAAGGAGGGCAGGAGGGGCTGTCTGACAGTGAGCTCAGTGAAGCCCGGAAGAAGCTTAAGTAAGACAGTAGCTAAAGGTTAAGCTTAATGAAATCTTACAGGGTAAAAAATCTGAAAATGGATCATCTGGAAGCCCACTACAATTCTATTTGCTCTCCAGCCAGACTTCACATAAACAGGTTCATTTTGACCTCTACTTCCATCTGGTCTCACTTACAAGGTTCCCTTAAATATGGGCAGACCTTGAGCGATTTCCATGCATTCTGCATGGACCAAACACCTCTATTCCAAAAAGCTGTATCCCTGACTTGAAGAGAGAAAGCAGGGACCATTCTTATGTTGGAAAAATGGGGGCTCAAAAAAAGGTCACACACAAGGCAGGGGAGCTGAAAATAGAACCCAGGAAGCCTTTAGCTACCTCCCAGTTTAGTGCTCAAGCCATCCCAGGCCTTCCAGGGGGAAGACGGGAGTTACAGTGTTGCTATAAAGAGACCAGAATGAGGGCAGGGGATCTGGGGTGGAAGAAGAGTCACTGCCAGTGTCACGTACCATCCGAGCCTAGCTACAGCCCTCTACACAGCAGTGCGCTGCAGAGTGATGAGCTAATCGGTCTCCAAGGAATATCTCTTTCCTGCCCTGGACAGCTGGATCAAGGACAAACACTCCTTCAGTTTAAAAAAAAAAAAAAAAAAAAAAAAACCCCCTAAATTTTAAAAAAAAAAAAAAAAAAAAAAAGCTCCTGAGAACAGCAGTTGTTCCTGTGGTTATGGATACATTCCAGAACTGTTCCACTGTTCCACTGCCAAATGTGGCAGTTAACCCCTACAGGGGCAAAACAGGCTGGTTCTGGGTGGCACCTGAATAACCATTTCAGGACAACTGAAACGCCCAAGGACACAGCTAAGGAAGCCTGCATGAGGACAGGACTCGAACTCAGAAAGCCTGCTAATTTGTCCTCTTGTAGACTCCAGTAGGGTAGAGATCCCTGAAGGTCTCCCCCTCAACCCAGCAGTCATTTCCTAGAACATTCGGCCAATCCTCACCCAGTGCTGAACCCCTGCTACACTGGGCTGCATAGATAGTTCCCAGGCCTGCCCATAAGGGGTCCTAATAGCTGAGATGAGACGGGAGGCCCCCAAACCAAAGCCTCCTCTGACTGTCACCCCCTTCCTCCTCAACCATGGCATGGGTCGGAGTCTGCAAGACACTACCTCTGCTCTCACTCCTGTCCTTTCCGCCTGGTTATCAACCATCTAAGGAATCCTCTTGGTATACAGCCAGCACTCCTGGCATCACATCCCTTCCCCTCGCCCCTCGGGGCCTGGCTTTTCTCTGCCAAATCTTCATCCATAGACTGCACTGGGCCCGCCCCACCGCCTCGAGGTCCTAGGGAGTGTCTGTATCCCAGCTTCTTCCTGCTCAGTTCCTTGCTGGCTCTCCACTCTCCCTCCACTGCTGGGGCTTTATACTGCCAGAGATTCCCCATCAGCCCTGCTTTCCACCCTTACCCTAGGGAATTCCTTTACTCTTTCTGTTCCCACTTTGTTGACCTACACAAGCAATGGCTTGAGGTCCCGGAACTTTTCCTGTGAAACCAGAGCAGGTACCTGGTTTCCATCAATATTCTTTAAGAAACCCTGGGCTGTGAAAGAATCACTCACTGCAGGTTGCAGCCCCTTCCTCATTACCCCCTTCCATTTTCACTCAATTTAGTCTCCCCAATGTACACTATATCCTTGCCTCCTACTTTTGAACCTTATGTCGCTAAACTGCTCCAGGGCTGAGACTGGTAGGCCTCAGACTCAGTACCTTTCACACATCACAAAGCCCGCAGTTAAGCCTGGATGGCACAGAACAAGCCGGAAAAGTAGGAATCGCCCAGTGTTCTTCTGCCAACGTCTTTATTCCTGTCTCGAGTGGGGCTTCTGCATTCTCTGCGGATTCTAGTCCCCTGCATCCAATTCCTTCCAAGCTCATTATACAGCACACACTTTACTCTCATTCTTTTCACCCCACATTCTTAGGAACCCACACCGACTCCCAGCGCGTTGTGAGTGGCATGACACACACAGGTCCCTGTCCCTACCTCCGCTTGTACTCGTCCCGCTCCCGCTTCACTTTGGCCAGCACGTTGTAGAGCGCTCGGATCTCGGGGGTGATGGTGTCGATCTGGACGCCCACCCCATCCGGGTGCACCCACGACAAGCCAGGTCCTTGTACCAGAGTGGGCTCCAGTCCCGGCCCGAGCCGGCGGGCGTGCGAGAAGGACCAGATGGTGCCCGGCATGAAGCGGGCCGATGAGGAGTAGGCGGTGGAGGTGGAGGTAGAGGACGACGAGAGGCTGGCCGCGGAGGGGGCGAGGGGGCCGGCCGGCGAGCGCGCGGGCGAGCCCAGCACCCGCGCAGACGGGCTGCAGACGGCGGCCGGCCGGGCGCCCAGCGGCAGCCCCAGGGGCCGGATGGGGCTGACGAAGCCGGTCTGCACGGCCTGGTCGCGGCGACCCAGGCCCCGCCGGCCCTGCTTACCCTCCTCCAGCGCTTGCTGCAGCTGCTTCTCCAGCAGCCGGTTCCGACGCTCCAGCTCGTGCACCTTGGCCAGGAAGCAGCGGAACCGGAGGTTCAGGGTCTTGAGCACGTTGATGTTGGAGCCCAGGTCATTGCGGAGGGCCATGGCGGCAGGCGGGGCCGGGCCCGGCCCGGGTGGCGAGTAGGCAGCAGGGCCGGCAGGCGAGAGAGGCGCCGGCGGCAAGTCTCCTCCCCCGGCGAAGTGGTCGCCTCCCAGTGGGTCCCCCAGCGGCCCGGCCAGGCCCTGCTGCTCCTGCTGTAGGAGGAAGAGATTGGGGCCGAATAACGGATTCATGGCTGCGCCTTCTGCTGGGAGATGCAGACCGGTGCAGGAGCAGGGATGGAGGGCGAGCGAGAAGAGCCAATGCGGCGCCGGCGGGACAGGGCCGACCAATCAGGCGGCTCGGCGGCGGGGCAGAGGTCAGGAGGCGGGCCGAGGGGGAAGCCAATGACAGGCTCCAATTGGAGGCCGGACCCTAGACCTTTCCGGGTCCGAGGCCGAGCGCAGGGCCGAGGAGAGCCACCGCTTGGAAACCAGCGGGGGTGGCGTAAAGCCCAGGACCCCATGGGTTCTGGTGACAAGCCCATCTCCCCTACACTTCTTGATTTTTGAGACCGAGTCTCACTCTTGCCCAGGCTGGAGTGCAGTGGCGCGATCTTGACTCACTGCAATCTCTACCTCCCGGATTCAAGCAATTCACCTGCCTCAGCCTCCCGAGTAGCTGGGATTACAGGCACCCGCCACAACGCCTGGCTAATTTTTTGCATTTTGGGTTTCACCACGTTGGCCACGCTGGTCTCGAACTCTGATCTCAAGTGACCCGCCCACCTTGATCTCCCAAAGTGCTAGGATTGCAGGCGTGAGCCACCACGCCTGGCCTTCCCCTACACTTCTGCTGCCCTCCTCTTCCCACAGTGCAAACTCCTGTAACTCTCACTCCAGGGCTCTCCTTTCCTGGGAAGACCCAAGGATGCAGGAGCCTAAAACTGACCTGACTTCTCAGTAGCACCCAACCATTCCCTCTGCTCAAAACCCCAGTCCCACCTTCCCATCCCTACCCTTAAAGCAGCAAAGGCAGTATCCAGTTCCCTCAAAAAATACTCAGGGGCCAGAGGTTGTAAAATGTGTATTCAATTTCATGGGCATGCACAGTGCAAAAGGCTTCCTCACAGAGGCAAGAGTTCCAAACCGGTGACAAAGGCAGTGAGCCACCCGTCTAGTTTTCAACCATCTAAGACAGGAGCAGCTGGCTGTTGCCCCTGGACTGAGATTTCCTCCTCTTTGCTGGTGGGGTGTGGCTGGAACTGACAAGAGACACAGTGGGAGACTGAAGCCCCTTGGGGGTGCCATTCTGTTTCTGGAAGGCAGCTTTCTTGGAAGGCTGCTCTGGCAACTGCTGCTTCTCAACCCCCTTGGCCCTTCCAAAGGGCTGACGACCGTCCTTAGGCTTAAGGGTGGCCTGGGTCTTGGATGGGGATAGCACAGCCGGTGTTTCTGTGTCTGTGCCCTTGGGAGGGGCATTCTGCTTGAGGAAGGCAACTTTCTTGGAGGACTGTAATTTAGGTGATCGCTGCTTTAGCTTCCCAGCCACCTTTGGCTCCCTGATCCCTTCAGCTTTTCCAGCTGGCTGACTGCTATCCTGGAGCCTGGAGGAAGCTTGGGTCTTTGTGACAGAAGGTATAGTGGACAGTTCTGAGTCTGCCCCTTTGGAGATGCCATTCAGCTTCTGGGGGGAGGCCTTCTTGGGATGTTGCTGTTTCTGCAGCTGCTGCTTTGCCTTTGCAGCCCTCTTGGCCTTCTTGGCTGGCTGGCTGCTATTCTCAGACTTGGGGATGACCTGAGGCAAGTCTACATTTGTAGGTGTGGTTGTTTCAGAATTTCCTGGGGTTAAAATTAAATAGATCATGTCAGAAAATGGGCCTGGTCACCATATTTTAATATTCTCATATTAAAATATGAGAACTGCCATCTCTTGGCCAGGAGTTCCATACAATTAGGTCAGTACCTAAGAGCAGATTACCTAAATTCCCATTACTTAGTAATTACTTAGTATCACGTCACCTTTACTCAAGTCCTAGTTGAAACTTGTATTAAGAGATCACTGCCACTGGTCATTAGAGAAACGCAAATCAAAACCACATTGAGATACCACCTCACGCCAGTTCGAATGGCAATCATTAAAAAATCAGGAGACAACAGATGCTGGAGAGGATGTGGAGAAATAGGAACACTTTTACACTGTTGGTGGGAGCGTAAATTAATTCAACCATTGTGGAAGACAGTGTGGCAATTCCTCAAGGATCTAGAAATAGAAATATCAGTTGACCCAGCAATCCCATTACTGGGTATACACCCAAAGGATTATAAATCATTCTATTATAAGGACACATGCACACATATGTTTACTGTGGCACTGTTCACAATAGCAAAGACTTGGAACCAACCTAAATGCCCATCAATGATAGACTGGATAAAGAAAATGTGGCACATATACACCATGGAATACTATGCAGCCATAAAAAAGGATGAGTTCACATCCTTTGTAGGGACATGGATGAAACTGGAAACCATCATTATCAGCAGACTGACACAAGAATAGAAAATCAAACACAGCATGTTCTTACTCATAAGTGGGCGTTGAACAATAAGAACACACAGACACAGGGAGAAGAACATCACATACTGGGGCCTACGGGGTAGTGGGTTAGGAGAGGAATAGCAGGGGGTGGGGTATCAGGGAGGGATAGCATTAGGAGAAATACCTAATGTAGATAGAAGACGGGGTGATGGATGCAGCAAATCACCACCATGGCATGTGTGTACATATGTAACAAACCTGCACAATCTGCATGTGTATCCCAGATCTTAAAGTGTAATAAAAAAGAACTTAAAAAAAAAGAAAAAGACAATCAATATGCACACATTAAATATTTGTTGAACTTCTAAAAAAAAAAGAAAGAAAAAGAGATCACTGCCTATAGGCAAGGCATGGTAGCTCACACCTCCAATTCCAGCACTTTGGAAGGCCAAGGCAAGTGGATTGCTTGAGGCCAGGAGTTCAAGACCCAGCCTAGCCAACATGGCAAAACTGTCTCTACTAAAATTATAAAAATTAGCCAGGCATGGTGGCACACACCTATAATCCCACCTACTTGGGAGTCTGAGGCACAAGAATCAGTTGAACCTGGAAGGCGGAGGTTTCAGTGAGCTGAGATTGTAGCACTGCACTCTAGCCTGGGTGATAGAGCAAGACTCAGTCTCAAAAAAAAAAAAAAAAAAGATCAAGATCACTGCCTATCCTTGAGCCAAAAGGTTGTTTGTTTTTGCTCTTCTTGTCCAGGCTGAAATGCAATGGCACGATCTTAGCTCAGCACAATCTCTACTTCCCAGGTTCAAGTGATTCTCCTGCCTCAGACTCCAAGTAGCTGGGATTACAGACTTGCACCACCACTCCTGGCTAATTTTGTATTTTTAGTAGAGGCAGGGTTTCTCCATTTTGGTCAGGGAGGTCTTGAACTCCTGACCTCAGGTGATCTGCCCACCTTGGCCTCCCAAAGTGCTAGGATTACAGGCAGAGGCCGGGGCCAAGCTGGGCCAAAAGATTTTTACAGGAAGCTGTGCCCCCTTGAGAACAGGAGTAACAAAATGCTATAAGGAAGAGATGAATCTCAGGGTTTGGTTTTTTTTTTTTTTTTTTTTTAGACGGAGTTTCACTTTTGTTACCCAGGCTGGAGTGCAATGGCTCGATCTCGGCTCACCACAACCTCCGCCTCCTGGGTTCAGGCAATTCTCCTGCCTCAGCCTCCTGAGTAGCTGGGATTACAAGCACGCGCCACCATGCCCAGCTAATTTTTTGTATTTTTAGTAGAGACGGGGTTTCACCATGTTGACCAGGATGGTCTCGATCTCTTGACCTCGTGATCCACCCGCCTCGGCCTCCCAAAGTGCTGGGATTACAGGCGTGAGCCACCGCGCCCGGCCTTTGGTTTTTTTTTGAGACAGAGTCTCGCTCTGTCGCCCAGGCTGGAGAGCAGTGGTGTCATCTCGGCTCACTGCAACCTCTGCCTCCTGGGTTCAAGTGATTCTCCCGCCTCAGCCTCCTGATGATTACAAGCATGTGCCACCACGGCTGGCTAATTTTTGTATTTTTAGTAAAAACAGGGTTTCACCATGTTGACCAGGCTGGTCTCGAACTCCTGACCTCGTGGGATCCACCTGCCTCAGCCTCACAAACTGCTGGAGTTACAGGTGTGAGCCACCGCGCCCAGCCTCACAGCGTCTTCTGAACAAATCTGAAGCACTAGGCTTTACGTATTACTTATTTTTTATTTTTATTTTTTGAGATGGAGTTTTGCTCTTGTTGCCCAGGCTGGAGTGCAATGGTGCAATCTCGGCTCACCACAACCTCCACCTCTCACGTTCAAGCAATCCTCCTGCCTCAGCCTCCTGAGTAGCTGGGATTACAGGCATGCATCATCACACCCGGCTAATTTCGTATTTTTATTAGAGACGGCGTTTTTCCATGTTGGTCAGGCTGGTCTCGAACTCCTGACCTCAGGTGATCCACCCACCTCAGCCTCTCAAAGTGCTAGGATTACAGGCGTGAGCCACTGTGCCCAGCCTAATTTACTTTTTTATTTACCTTTTTTTTTTTTTTTTTTTGGTATTTTTAGTAGAGATATTTTTTGTTTTTTTTGAGGCAGGGTGTCGATGCAGTGGTGCCATAATAGCTCACTGCAACCTCAAATTCCTGGGGCTCAAGGGATCCTCCTGCCTCAGCTTCAGAGTAACTGAACTATAGACAAAGTCTCCCTATGTTGCCCAGACAGGTCTCAAACTCGTGGTCTTAAGTGATCCTACTGCCTCAGCCTCCCAAAGTGCTGGGATTTACAGGCATGAGCCACCAGGACACCTAGCCTATTTATTTTTTAAATTAGAGAAGTTTTTTTCCATTTGGATTGTGATGAAGTGCAGGATAATTAAGATTCCCACAACTACCAGAGACTAGCTAGGAGAACATCAACAAGGACTAACATTTTATGTACTTTTTAAGTTATAGCAAATTTTACTTTTTCTTTTCTTTTTTGAGACAGAGTCTCACTGTTGCCCAGGCTGGAATGCAATGGCAGGATCTCACTCCAACCTCCACCTCCCAGGTTCAAGCGATTCTCCTACCTCAGCCTCCCGAGTACCTGAGACTACAGGCACAGGCCACCATGCCTGGCTGATTCTTGTATTTTTAGTAGAGATGGGGTTTCACTATGTCAAACTCCTGACCTCAGGTGATCTCCCTGCCTTGGCCTCCCAAAGTGCTGGGATTACAGGCATGAGCCATCACGCCCAGACAAATTCTACTGTTTAT